TCAATATTCACTGGTAGTACCCACTGAGAACTTCAGTTGTATAAGACAATTAGCAATATATGTTGTGATTTTGTATTATTATAGTTTTGTGTCATCAGCATGAAATAACAGGTTGACTTGAAAATATGTGATAAATGTGTAACACAAAATAACAGAGGACCAAGTTCGGATCCTTGAGGAACTCCACTCAATACAGGATTCACATCCACCCAAAATCAGATAGAGATAAACTACACTGTTGTAAAATGCACTTTTCAAAAGAATACTCAAATACAGTGTTCATTACATGAAATCGAAATGTAGGAAAGTGCTCACTTTGTAAAAAAAAATGGGGGCTAAATTTTTTTCGAACATTCATACCGGAAAAGAACAATTACTTTTTTGTTGTTAGGGTCAAATTTTGGCAAATTTCAAAGCAATGGACAGCGACTGGTTCGCGCAACACTACATGAACAGACAGACCAAGATCGGCGCCCCCGACATTAGCAAGTTCAACAACTGGGGGGGCTCTCTTTCGATAGGACACCCCTTTGCAGCCACCGGCGTCCGGCTGGCCATGCATACTGCCAACAGGTTGGTCAGAGAAGACGGACAGTTCGGGCTTATCGCGGCATGTGCTGCTGGAGGCCAGGTATGATCACAAAAAAAATCAAAACTGACACAATTTCCATTGTTTTTTGAACAATAAGATTATGCGAGTGGACTACGGTAATTTTTAAACGGCTAGAAATTCACCGCAAATGAAAACTGACCCGATGATTTCGTGATGAATTTGTAAATTCACACTAGGGATATTTGGTCCGGTAAACGTGACAACACAGGATTGTCGGCGTTGTCTTGTCAGTTCTATGCATTCAGCACAGCATTGCCAACTCAATATTTAATATTTACATGTTTTTTATGGAGTATTAGAAATATTTTGACAAGCTGGTTGCTCAAGAAAGTCACAGATCTATATTATCAAGGCATCCTCCTTTTAGGTCAAAATAAATGACATATTTTATTTGGATGTAATTTTATTCTATGATAGGGCTTAACTTTGTAATAACTTGATTATAATAATTGGTGATCTGACAACCTAGCTTTATGAGTAGGAATGGAAGATTATCTGACCAATAATGAAATAGTATAGCAACTTACCCCACCATGTATCCCAGAACATGGTCAAATAGCGGTCATCTACGGCATGTTTTAAATGATCTCTGAAATTCAACAATTTCAAAGAAGCTATAGACACATTATTTATTGAGTGCTGATTATATTTACCACGTCCACTAGCCCATTATTGTTGAAATATCTAAGGAAAAACAACTATATTCCTGACTACTAACACAGAATATTGAATTATTTCAGTAGTCTTGAAAAAACCTAGAATATCTAATTCTGAGAACATAACATTCTATGAAAAATCATATCTATTTAATATCACCTTAGATCAATTAGAATTTAATTGATGAAAATAAGATGATTGTTTTCTTCATTGTTTTTCAGGGAGTTGCTATGATTTTGGAAAGACACCCTGATGCCACTCCAAACTGAGGTATGCAAGTATGAGAGAATGATGAAAGATAGGAATATTATGTGAGCCTTACAATTTTTTTTACAGATTGTTGATCTATTTTAGCTTTTTATTTAGTCCCATTCAATTTTACTTTGAACTATATATATTTATAGGTTAACTGAATTTATTGTAAATAGATATTTAAGTCCAATTCTTATTTTGTATAAATAAAAATATTGATTTACCTTTGAACCAAGCCTCATTCAATTCAACATGAAACATGAACCCAGCTACCTACTTTACTCCCTACTTATTCATATTCTATTGGCTCTGTTTAAGACATAAAAAAAAACAATAACCATCTGCTCCAAGGACTACTCCTATTATGTACATTTAACAAATGGGTGACTTAATTCAATCAATTTCATGAGTATATAGTCCAATAAATAAAGGGAAAAAGTTAACATTAATTACGCACTATTTTCATCTTCCGGTTGGAAGTAGCTTTTAATACCTCATTAAACATGAGACAAAGTTTGACTGGAAAACGCGTGCGAAGGCGGAGAAAATTGCCCCAAAAGACCAGAAAAATAGGTTTTCAGCCAATATCTCCTAAAATATGGCAGTTAGAGATTTTCGGTTCAGATAAAAATTGAAGTTCAGTTAATTTTCTACAAAAATGGTCCTTATCATTTTTCTCGAAAATTTGCCCGGTTCCGAGAAGAACGGCACGAAGCGCACCTCGAATAATGAGCTTCTGTTGTATGTCGGAGAGCACAGTCCGTGTATTTACACATCGGCGGGGGGACAAATTATTCAATAACTTTGTTAAAACTGCATATTTTCTCATGATTCAAAGTTCATGTGAAAGAGGAATTCTGCTGCTATCATACCCTGTGAATTGAGTCACGCTTGACTCTTTCGGTCATATCGGAACATGGGTCAAACTTTCTACTCCCGGTCAATTTTGACCTCGCCAGGAATTTTTTTCTTTTTTTTTGTATTGCACTAATTTACTCAAAATTTTCTTGATTATGGGTCCTCATAAGGTCCTTTGTCATCCCTGAACTTTGTATACCCTAATTTTTTTTAATTTTCATTTAGTCTGTTTATTGAATCCCAATTTTTTGCTGTTTTTGGAGCGCGGGGAAATTTTGTGAACAACCATCAATTAAAAATTTATACATGATCCGATTGGTTTCTATGATACATCATTGGAAAATTAAGAAGGTCTACTTTTCGATTGGGCAATTACTTTTTTATACGAAGTCGTCCATTTTTCAATAAAATTAGAAAAAGCGGGGTCAAGGAAAAAACGCACTTTTTTTTCGGTGTTTTTTTTTCTCCGTGCTCTTTATTTGTAACATTTTAACACCTTAACTAGTGTAACGGGGGAATCCCCTCCTTTCCATCGATGTATATAAGTCATACCTTTGATATCCCGGGAAAAAAACAGTATATCTAAATGTACACGCTTTAATTTATTACTTTCGTTCCTCCGTCGTTCGCCGCGTGTGTGCTCTACGTGGCGCTCGGGTCGTCTGCTACAAACCATGCGGTCACGCAGGGTATGATAGCAGCAGAATTCCTCTTTCACATGAACTTTGAATCATGAGAAAATATGCATTTTCAACAAAGTTATTGAATAATTTGTCCCCCCGCCGATGTGTAAATACACGGACTGTGCACTCCGGCATACAACACAGAAGCTCATTATTCCAGGTGCGCTTCGTGCCGTTTTTCTCGAAACCGGGCAAATTTTCGAGAAAAATGATAAGGACCATTTTTGTAGAAAATTAACTAAACCTCAATTCTTATCTGAACCGAAAATCTCTAACTGCCATATTTCAGGAGATATTGGCTGAAAACCTATTTTCCTGGTCTTTTGGGGCCTTTTTCTCTGCCATCGCACGCGTTTTCCAGTCAAACTTTGTCTCATGTTTAATGAGGTACCAAAAGCTACTTCCAACCGGAAGATGAAAATAGTGTGTAATTAACGTTAACTTTGCCTTTTTTTTATCCTTCATTTATTGGACTAATAGGAGGGATCTGGAATAGCACTAGTGAATTTTGGAAATAGGTACAGTATGTTCAACTTTTGATAGACATTTTGACTTTGGTTGTAAGCCCCCAATTCAACTACACAATTTTCATAAATGTTTACCAGGGTCCAGGGGATAACCATTATGTCCAATATGTGTACACTTGGTGTCCAGACCCTATGTAATCCATCTAAAGTTATTGGCCCAATATTCCTAATCTCTCTCATAATCTCATAATGCAAATGTCCATTCTGTATCTATAATATAGGTCCAATCCATGTATATTTTTGGGAGAGTGGATTACCTCTTAATCAGTGACAAAAGAAAAAGAAACTGCACCTATAAGTGGATTAATCTATTCTCAATTCCAGCATTGACTCAGACCACTCTTATCCAGGAAAAAATCAAATAGAAAAATGTTATTTCAAGCCAGCTTGCCATAAAAAAAAGGTCAAAACCCCTCAACTTGTATTAGCCCATCCTGTAGAACTGCCTATATCCCTCACATGTAACCTCACTGCCTCATCCAGTATCTGTCTAATATCCTTGCACCCTTGTAAAGCTTTATTCAGAACCTTTTCCAAATGGTCCATGTGAAAACGCTGAGACATTTCCATCAACACAATTTTACCTGACATTGGTAAAGCAGCCACAGTCAATGTTGGCCCCCCTATAATTTCTTCCTGATGGGAAATATCAATCATAGGAACATCATTGTTGGCCAAACTAGCTGTACAAGCACAAACATATTCTTTGAGTGGTATGCCAGCATCAATAAGAGCTAGGGTAGCTGCATTAACACATGCTGTGTATATACCTAGAAAATTAATTATCAAAATAAGTGAAAATGTTCAATAGTCAGTCATTTGCAATTCACCTCCATCTGCATGTAATACTTCAACATACACATCTATCTGTGACCAAGGATAAAGTTCGCTCTTTATAACAGCCTCCAAGGCCTGCTGTAAATGCATAGACAGCTCCGTTGATTTCCGGTCACCTCTCGGACGCTTCTTCCTGTCCGTGGTGGAGAATACGGCCATACTAAACTGACAATTGATGATAGCAGTGTCGTGTTGGGCTTTCGATCTGCCCCCTCGTACTTGATGTGGGCCGTACACGGCAGCTAGGACTTTGGTGAGGCCTTGTTCCAAATAGGCGCTGCCGTCGGGCTCAGTAAAAACGCCTAGCTTGCAACGGATCCTTCTGAGCTCGTCCGGTCTTCTGCCGTCCAGGCGGAGGCCGATTTTGGACAGAAGATCTCTATTTCTACTCATTCTGTTATCTCAAGTCTGCAACTGTTTCAATATTTTGAATTATTGTCAACCTTAATAATTCTTCTTCTTTTTTATACAGATCTTCTGCTCTTTGACGAACCCAAGCCATTATCTAGTAGCTCAAGTACCTAACCAAAGCAGGCTAATGCCTGCTTTGGTTAGGTACAGTATGAGTGACAATTTTGACGTTTACGTCAGTTCAGGGAGATTTCTGAAACGTGAAATTGTTCCAAGTATTTGTTGTGGTGGTAAAGTGTTTCATTATTAATAAAAATGGTAAGTTTTTCAAAACAACAATATAATTACGTTCAATTCAACAATTTTTTTTTAGTCGAACGAAGTCGAGGAAACCATGAAACGGATCCAATCCCATAAGGGAGTAGTAGGAACAATAGTTGTCAACTCAGAAGGTTTATTTGATCAAAATGTCAGTACCCCTTGATGAATTATTAGTTTTTTAGGCATACCTATCAAAACAACATTGGACAACACAACAACTGTTCAGTATGCTGGCCTGATAAGTTCACTAGCAGATAAAGCTAGAAGTGTGGTTAGAGATCTAGATCCTTCCAATGATCTCACATTTCTGAGAATCAGGTCAAAGAAACATGAAATTATGGTAGCTCCTGATAAAGAGTTTATTCTTATAGTGGTACAAAATCCAACAGATTAGGGTTTTATTGTGTTCTTAAAATTTGATAGCTTAATTTAGGGACCTAATGTTAAAATAGTCCATTTATGCACATTTTATTGATAATATTATTTTCTACTCAACTTTTGATAATGCTGAATTTATTGATCCAACTCACCTAAGCAACTTCTGCTAGATCATTTGAAGAGAATGGATTTTTATTCTGAGGATCTATAAATCTTTTTATGCTTTATTGTTTATTAAATTTTTCATATATTATCAAGAGTTTAATTTTTCTACACCATTCAGGCAAGCCTGAGTTGAAGTATTCCTTCCATGGATAATTTTGAAATAGAATTGATGTATATTTTGTTTAAAAAAGTAAAATATGAATATGACCAAAAAAAGCAATCATTTAAAAAAATATCACAAAACTTTGGTATATTTGTAGATTACTCCTTGATATAGGAACATTCGGATTGCAGCAGATGTGGAATCAGAGTACCTGGCCATATATATTTTGGCCAAGGAATCAGGTTCCTGAAAAATCAATAACCAACCACCAAAAAATCACATAGGAAGCTATGACTTGTGATCAAACTTAATATAAGTAGGAAAATTATTGAGTACTGGTCATTCAAGTCATTGATAATATGGAAATATTGATAATAAAAAAAAATATCCATGGGGAGTGTTGCAAAATAATAGATATTAAACAAGGGTTTGTAATATAAGTTGAGTTGAATCATTGTGACGATCTATATTATTTTCGTTTTTCATGATTGTTTTTATTTTTTCATGATTATTTTCACATATAAAGACATGGTGTACTAAGTGGTGTTAGGTAGATATGAGGAAAACTTAGATGAATACATATATTCTAGAATCAATCATTCCATCAAGTATCTATCTTTATTTTCTGATATTTGTTTATCTTGCAGTTTGGAATAATTAAGTACCTAGATATTTGATTGAAGAATCTTTATACATTACCTATTTATTTAACCATATGTTTGAAGTATTACTTCAATAAATTAAATACTGATTTTTTTTATTGAATTTTATTGAACGTCCACATTACATTACATAATTTTATAGATGTATAGTACCTATATGAATTATTAAGACTACAAGGTTTAAATTTAAGGGTATTTGAGTTGATCTAACCTACATTCTTTTAATAAGCTTTTCAAAGTGGATTTATGCTATTTGAAATGGATAATAACTTGTAATACATTTACGTCAATGATCAATTAGTTTTTACTATTTTGATAAAAGGACATTACTCAATATAACTAGAGCAAAAATATCTTCATTGAATATAAAATAACAAGGGTAGCAGAGTGGTAGAGAACCATTTTAAATTTATATTTCAAATTGTTCCCAAAACCATAAAAATTCGAAAAAAGTTAATGCAACCTTTATTTTTATCATAATCAAAAAGAAGATTTTGTCATCAGCCAATTCATATTATTTATGTGAGTATTAAGGAATAATTAACAGGAAATATTCAACATTGGATGTTACAAATAAAAAGTGTAGATGAATTATGAACAAATCAAATTATCATCTATTATATTATCAATCTGTAATTTATTTGGATTTGCAAATTGAGTAATACAACATGGTATTGTGATAAGAATCAACCATTTATCTCTGCAACTGTTAGGACAAATGAGTTATTTTTAATAATCATGAGTTTTAATTGTGTTTAACAGAAACTAAAGCAAGATTTGGTTGTTATGAGCAATATGACCTTTTCAAAAAAATTTATTTATAGGAATAACTAGTCATAGATTAAGCAACTCAAATACAAATAACGTAAAAATTATTTTAGGAGTACAAAACTAGGTACTCTTCTAAAAAGACGGGATCAAATCATTACATTAATTATTTCAAATTTACGAATAAAATTGTCTGGAACTTAAGTTTATTTTGATGGGCGTGAGTAAGGGCTCGCCCTGTAACGAGACGGGTCAGCATGCCCTACGTGTCGGCCTGCAGCGGGAGAAGGCCCAGCTGGCCCTTTATAAGAGTTCTTCCAAGAGCGAGCTTGCGATGGCGATTCTGGATAACATACAATAATTCCAAACAGAATTAGGTTAGTTTAGCGGTTTGTGTTTATTTCGAAATTAGCTGTTTTCCTATGTAATACAACAATAATTGTATTGATGATTATCGAAGGTAACACCACGAGTCCTTCAAATTTTATCGAGTTTTTCAATTTTTCATTTGGCAAAAATTATGAAACAAAGCGATTGATGCCTAAAAAAGTTTTGAGTGAAGAAAGATTTAAAATTTGAGGGAGTTGTGTTTGGGAAGATTATTTTTTCGCCAATTTGATAAAAATACGCTTGCAATCCACGACTCATATTCTATTACGGAAAATATGAAAGTTACTTTTCTGTTTTCTCGGAGAACTTGTCGAAAAAAAAAAACAAGATGACGGACACTGGTAAGTATGATAAATTTTGACAGTTTTCAATGCTAACAAGGTTTTATCCAGGACCATGCCCTGTTATCAGTTTAATTCTGAATGATTGGCTAGAATAGGCCTTTTCATCTAGATATATTTTCAAGACGCATGCGCTCGTTTTTAGATCCAAAAATGTATTGGGTAATGGGAAGGTGAAGTCTCATTGGCTATAGTTCCAACCCAAAATGCTGATTGGCCATTCCGAATATGGCGGGTATTATTGACGTTCTGTCAAATGTCTACAGTGTCAACCACCATGGGTATTCGTCATTGAGAAACAACATAGTATTCTTGTTTTTAAATTCCTGGTCTGTATTAATTGTATTATAATAATTTAATTCCAAAAAACGTTACTTATTCGTTACTGAGGAGTGTGGTACTGTGGTGTAAGTGTTTCGGTGAAAATGGCCGCCACTGTCGTTGGATGCGAGATGTAAACAGAGATAGTCATTTGTCATCTAAATGAAAAGGCCTATTATGCATTGCTACTGGTTGAAACAACGAACGTCACATTTTGACATTTGAAAATAATCAGAATACAAATCCCGAACAAATCCCTTCGATGTTTAGAAACAGATTGTTTTTTTTTCGTTATATATATGAACATAATATGTTATCCCTATTATGAACAATAATGTTTTTTGGGCAACAACAACTACAGGAGCGAAGGGCGAAGTATGTGGTTTCCTGAAGCAACAAATTGGTTTCAAGAACTTTTTAGCCAATCATCAATAGAACTAGCTGTATTTGTTAAGCTTATTTCACTCGCTATTTTATGAATTAAACTATAATTTCATGTCGTTTTTCCATTTGCAGTCGTTGCGTTATGCAACTAATGATGCATTGAAAAATGTTTATTGCCAAATTGGGGTGTCATCGACAATAAATCCTGTAAGTTCCAAAGGATTGATAAATTAATTGATTGAGTTGTGATCATGAGTTTAGATTCAGTTCCATATCAAAAGTGTTTCCTTGTTATACGAAATTGGTCTAAAATCCTTCCATACATATTATTAGTGAGAGCCTATCACGATTTTGGCTCAAATTTAGTGTTGAGTATTACTTAATACTGAATATAAAAATATTATAACATCCATGGTCAGTCATTTTGATTTATTTTTGATTAAACTAACAATGAGAAAGTGGAGTACAAAACAAAAACATGTATTTTGAAATGAGTGAAATAACCTATCAAACTGAGTGATTGAAATATTATAAAGGGACAATTTCAAGTAGTTCAGTGGTGCCACATTCTTTATAATTAAATAGGAATCATGCATACCTACCATTTACAGAGGTAATTTGTTTTTACGAAAAAAACTTTTTTCTTCAATTAGCGTCGCTTCAAACCCTCACATTAATTATAATTTAGTTTTTTGCCTTTTGGGTTATAAGCTATTCACCATGAGGATATTTTATTGATAACTGAAAAATTTATGTTTGGCCAGGATGAACTACAAATATGTTTGTTGTTGGTGAAATTGCATTTTTTTTTGTTGTCTTCCTTGAAGTGAAGAATGTGAAACACTTCAAACTCAATTTTTCTTCAATATCAACAAGGTGATATACAGAGTGACCCATTTGGAAGCGGACCATTCCTGTTAAAAACTTAAAATTTCACGTCGATAATTCTCTGATTTGAATATAATCTATTTTCTCAATATTAATTCGTCCTATTTTCTATCACAGAAAAAATATGGTATTCATAAACGGGAAAAATATTAGATTTTAGCTCACGGTTTTTTGTCTCCTATTCGCTACGCGTACGGATTCAACACAACCTCGACCTAGAATCTACTACTTTTTTCCCTTGTATAATAAATAACTATTCGTTTCCTAGTATGATAATAAAGACCGAACAAAAAAATGATGATTAAATAGCTGATAGTGTAGACACCACATTTGAATTGAACTAGCAGAATCAGGGTTGGCACAATTTATTATTAAGAAATATTAATTGTTTTTGCTACATTCAAGGGATACTGAAAAAAATGGTTTATCAATAATTATACCTTCAGATAACGACTTTTCATTGAATTTCTCAGGTTGTGTGGCTTCAACTTAGTAATTGTAGATCCATAGACAACAAAACAAGTAAGCATTGTTTCATTTTTTATTGTTATCTAAATAAATAATATAAGTTTAGTTACTTATCAATTAGGAATTACATTCTGAATGAAAATTATCGAATCAAATGTTAAATTGAAAAAAATATATAAATAAATGATGCCAACCCTGCTCAATACCGTTGCCGCCTGAAACCTGATGATGTAGGTCGCGGCCAATAGACAAATCCTGTGCCTGTACGCCCTAAAAATAGTACAAGCATTTTAGAGTATACTCAAATTGCTGACTGAGTCAAGATACATGATAACATTGAAATTAATACACATAACTTCAACTCTAGAAAGACCCAAGGGACCTATACTAATCTATGGCACCATTTTTTTCCGCCCAAAGTGCTACAAAATAGCAATCGTGGGGATTTCAATCATCTTAATTGTCTTGAAGTAGTGTACTCAATTTTTTTCTCATATTTTGTTACAACTTTCATGATGAAATTGATCATTGATTGAAAGAAATCTGATACTGATGTATGAAAATCACTTCATATAGTGATTTGGCATTTACACATACATTATATTTCAACACCTTGTACATCTATATATTGAAGAAAAATGAGTATCATGATAATAAAAACCTGGATAAAAAAAAGCGTCAAATTAAAAAAAAATGCAATTCCACTTTCATTGGTTCTCACCAGACTATATTTGATGAAAGGAAGGGGAAAGTCAGACATGGCCACTGCACTATTTAGACAGACATTTTATTATTAAGATGAGTCATCAAATTATCCTTAATTAGACCTGAATAATTTAAATAATGATTATGCACTATCTCTATTATCTTTTTGACATTCTGTACCCAATATCCGTGAATATTTTAAATAGGCAATTTTTTGTATTTTGAATTTATTGCTTTTTTTTGGTGAGCAAAGATGAGAGAACTATTTACTCCTGAATTCAAGTTTTAAATCATTAATTTAATTTCCCAGATTCAATGGAATTCTGATCATGGCATTCATGAAAATAGATATTTAGTTGGAAATTTAGGTCATTGGCTAACTAAAATTGTTGTCAAAATAGTCAATTTTTGCATATTTCTTTTTGTTGAAAAGACAATATTCCTCTTGACTACTTACCATTCAAAACAACAATGAGCAAATCAAGTCTTACCTTCCTGATCCTGATGATTTTTGATTTCTCAGTTGACCAATCTATCTATATAGGTGTGATTTTGAGAGAAATGGTAAAGCAGTTCCTAACTTTATATTCTTAGCTTGCATGTGATCACTTCAATGAAGTGCACACAGTAAGTTGGATTCTTTGTTTTTAGAAAATAGGTGAAGTTCACTAGTGTAACCAACTACTTGAAAATCTGGTAAAACTACACTTATCATGTGATGTTTTTTTTTAAGGTTTTTTTTGGTACTTACGTATATTTGTCTGAAAAACACGAATTTTAGAATGAAAATGTGAACAAACCATTATTTATCAAGATGTTTCACTAAAAAGTTAAAAATTCCACCTTCTTTTCCGCCTGTCTTCTGGATCGCATTTTGAACAATTTCCCGTCTTTTTTCATCATTGGACAATTTATATATATCACAATGTTCGACACATTTTTCTCTCTTATATGAGTCAACTAGAAATATGATTTTCTTGTGATTAATTCATATTTAGTGAAAAAGTCAAAATAATGCCGTGTGTAATGTCATTCAAGAGCAATCTGTTGACATTTGACATCTCGTATTTGGAATGACTATTGATTAAATAGCCGTCATCTGGTATGATTGTTCACTAAATATGGAAAACTTGCGATAAAAACCATATTTCGTGTTCTAATATAAAAATGTGTCATTGATGTACATCATGAGTATATAGTGTTAATTGACACAATAAGAAGAGCAAGTAGCTGTAAGCATTCAACGCAGATAAATAGTGGTTTGTTCACATTTTCATTATGAAATTCGTGTTTTTCAGACAAAAATACGTGAGAAACAAACAAAAAAATTCGAACAAAAAACCCATCACATGATAAGTGCAGTTTTAGCGAAAACCTTTCCTTGAAGTTTCAATTTGTAGAGGAATTATGGGACCACAATTTCGGCATATCATCAGAGACACCAGCAATCCTTTTGAGTTGCCTGATGGACAGTTGATCTAGCTATTCTGCTTGAATTGAGTTTTTTGCACCTCTTGCACAAAGACGACCAAATTCACCAAATACATACAATAAACAATCTGTTAATTTGAATAATAAAATTTTGAAAATGTCAGTGCAATAACTCTAACCTCGGTCGGATCGCCTAATTGCATAGGTCGCGTGCACGAAGACCGACCCTGGAGGCAAACTATTGAAACACAACCTCATTCTTCTGTGAATTATTGAAACACAACCTCACTTTTTTATTTGGTTACAGGGGAATCGAAAGGTTAAAATAGTTTTTCACATTATTTTGGCATACGAATCCTGTTTCTTGCGTTATTCATTAATTCAAGCATGCCTTCGCATTGTGCTGTTGTACAATGCACAAAAAATGCAGCAAGAGACTAGGGAATATGATTTTTCAGGTAAATAGTAATCTCACATAGTTAGCATTATGAAATGTTGTCATTCCTTATTAAAATTCCTTCTGCCTTCTGCCACTTCTGCAATACAAGCTAATGCAGCTAATAGATTGAAAATGTCTACAACACACACGATCGTCAGCATGTCAGACCAGTCCTACCGATTGATTGCATGAATCCAATCTTCTTGCATTATTCTAGAAATTTCAGGTATATTTCTATTAGCTGATCCTATTGCAGAAGGAATTCCGATGAGAAATCAGAGAAATAACCAAATTTCAAAAATGAAAACTATGTGAGTGACTATAGTTAGTAGGTACTTACTTTTGAATCATAATGTACCATCCGGATTTCTTCATCTTCCGCTGCAGTTTTTGTGCATTTTACAACAGCACAATGTGATGGCATTAGCGAATTGATGAATAGCGGAAAAATACGATTCATATGCCAAAATAATTGTGGAAAACTATTTCGATTACTTGTAAACAAATATGTTTTGCCTCCAGGGTCGGTCATCTGACAGTTCTTGCACGCGACCTATAGTAATATTAGGTGCGTTTTGTTGTGCCATTCCGGAAGTGATAGAATGAGTGAGCCCAAGAAAACGGATCGGCGCCAGAAAATTGAAACATTTGGAACTGTAGAAAAATTTGATATTTTCAACCTCCAAATCTGATCATATTATATTTGTCCTTGTATTTGTCTCTAGTATGGATATGTTCTGTTAATTAATCCAGGTTACCGATGCTTTCAGGGCCGGTACCAACAATTTTGACAGTGGTTATCTACTAGTGACTACGGTTGTGGTTTATTTACGGAATGCCAGTCACGGTAATGACTACTTACATTGTGAAAAATATATTTTTTTAATATCACTATCATTGTTAGGAAACTAAATGATATATTCTCACTCTCACACTTTGGAATTTCTTGAAAACATGGGATATTAACTGAATACTCTAGTGAAGTCATGTAATCATTTGACTGGCATGACGACGATGCAAGTCCTGAATATTTTAAGTTTTCGTTATCAGCACTATACATCTGTTTTGATTCATAGTTTACATCAACATATTCAGAGTTTTTCGAATATTCATGCTCTGCTAGTATTTGATTTTCAGTTATGGCACATAAAGTCTCTATTATAATGCTTGTGCACAGTAACCACAAGCAATGGATATAATGTCCTGAAACCTGAAATAGAAAAAATCGACAACGTCAATTCAAACTTACCGAACTTACCAGAGAAAATCGGCGGTCGTTTGGTGAAATCAAATTGAAACTAAATCTAAAACGGCTGAACCAAATACCAATGACCAATATATTTTTGGAATCAGGAAGAAAAGATCTTGAATTTTTTCGAAAAATATATAGGGTGTTTCATTGAAAATAACGAAGTTGGTACCAATTTCTTATATCAGCGATATTCATTTGTTTCATCTGGTGTAAATTTCTGGAGGTTCAGAACAAACCCTACAACTTGTGCATTCGAAGTTTTTCTCTTTCTTCGATGATGAACCCTGTAGAAGCTGTATAAATATACGGAGTGACCCTGTACAATGCCAAGCACCAGATTGAGTAATGGCACAACAAAACGCACCTATTGTGTTATGAACATAATAATATTGTTGTCTTAGCTGTGTTATAACCAGATCCAAACAGAATCGACCCGATCAACAATGAAACGAAGTATCTATCTTTTCTTTTAGAATAACAAAGAAGAAAAACCAACTCACCGTAACTAGAAGCACTCTGCCGGTAGTAATCCCCTTCATACTCTGGCTCCACATAGTGATGCCCCCCACCACCACCACCTCCTCCCATCCCGTACCCTCCTCCTCCGCCTCCTCTAGGCACATACTCCTCATAGCCCCCAGCTCCCCCCTCATACTGCTCCTCCTCGTATCCGTAGCTCTCCTCCATGGCGACACGCGCCCTATCCAAGATCGACATGATCTTCGTCTTGGCGGGCATGACGCCGCGCGGTTGAGAGGCGGGTCGGCCTCCTCCCACTCCTCCAGAGGCGGAGGGGCGCATAGAAGGTGGTGGGGGAGCGCGCGGGGCAGCTCGTGGGGGCCCGGCTACGGGAAAATACCATGTTTCACAATAGGCAAGCAATGAACTCAATATAAACAACTGGGAGGGACCCTCTGTGAACGACGAGTGAGGTGAAAATATTGTTCAGGCAACCCGCAGTGTTTACTGATACATATCTCTCTCTATCTTATGTTCGCTAATGGGAAGCGCTCGCATTATTTGAAATATTTTCTCGTTTTTTGCTTTTTTACGTGATTGAATAAAAATATTCATATAGCAAAAAGGAAAATGTTGCAATCAATTATCATTAAAAAATTATTATTGTTTTTTATTGACTTAAAAATGAAATTTCATTTTTATTCTTACAGAATTAGAGAGAGAGAAATAATCTTTATTGTCTAAAATGTATTACATTTCGTCGACGAAGGTATATCATATATATAAAAAACGAACAATTGTAAAAGAAAAAAGACTAAAAAATATTTACATAAAGGGTATAATACGGTACGGTACAAACGTGTTTTCACAACTAAAGTTTATCAAAATCTTGATATAGATCGTAACATTTATATAGAAAATCTAGAAACTATATGCAAAATTCTCTCCCAAACTATAGAAGCACTTTCCCATAACAAGGTTTTTTACCGATTTCCTAAATTGCTTCTGATCATTGATTGCTGTTATTTGTTTCGGTAAATGATTATATATCTGTCTACTTCTATAGATTTGAAAATGCTTGGTCAAAGTTGATGAGGGGAGTGGAAGGACAAGTATCATCTCCTTTCATGTATGCCTTTCTGCTCGATTCAAGAACTTTTCTCTATGTTTGTGAAGCAAGCAAACAATCTCTATAATAAAAATTTAGTATTTTATATTTGCAGAAAATTGGCCTACACGAATCGCGAATCCTCTTTTCGAATATGATTCTCATAGCTCAATGACGAATATACTTTGCAATAAAACCTGGCAGGCAGAGCCCCAAAATTGAATTCCATACCTAAGATGACTCTCCATAAGTGAATAGTATGCGGTCATTGAAGGTGAAAATCCGAGTTCACGAGATATGACATTCACGGCAAAGCAACCAGAAGACAATTTCTTTTTCAGTACATTAATTTGTGTGTCAAACTTCAAATAACTATCAATAAATATACCGAGGAATTTCGTTACAAGCTTACTTTCAACCGTCTGGCAACCTGAAGTTACCTGATCCAAATCCCACTTAAATGTGACCAAATTTGTTTTAGAAAGATTTAGCGACAACATATTCGATTCACACCAATTTTTTATTTTTTCTAAATCAGAGTGTATAGTTCGAGTCAAAGTAGCCGGATTTCCATTACGCCAAAATACCATGGTGTGATCCGCAAATAAGGTGAATGTTCCAGATATATCCAATTTAGCCAGATCGTTAACATACAGCAATAATAAAATTGGGCCCAAGACTGACTCTTGAGGAACTCCTTTTACTATTTTTCCATTAGGATTAGGAAGTCAAATGAATACAAAATTGAAATTATATATTTCCATTCAAATGTCACAATATATTGTACAGGGTGAGCGAAGCACAATGTCTTAGCACTATCAAAAGAAGGAGAAAAACGATAGGAAAAATTTGACAAGAGGTTCTTGAATGGTACCTAAGGACCTACAAACATATCCCTATTAAAAATTAAAAAAATACAATTCTCAATACAATATCCTTCTCCAATGGAACAGTTTGGGTTTCTTTATTGATGAACTTTGAAACTTGGGAGCTGGAAGTCATAGGTAAAGTCCATAATATGAGAAACATCTTCCTTAGGACCCAATGTTATGAACTTCCACAGATGCATCCTAAAAATAAATTACTTGCTAGTTTTTTATTTTAAAGAGGTGCAAACATATTTCTTTTTTCATTATTAATCAACTAGGCACCTATGAGTTTTCTTATTTTTCTTTAAGGATCAGTATTTTTTATTAACAAATGCTTGAGAAAAGGAAATATACTGGGTACAGCATCTGGTTTCAATAACCTAGCAGTACCTGGTATGTCTAAATGAATAATCAGTTGGCAGGAAATGCTCTCCACAAAGCTTGCTGGTTTTAGATGGAGCCCAACTCTCTCTACGAACTACTACCTTAATCCATAATTCAAGAATGTCTGAATGGAAAACTGCAACAAATAATATAGGTATAGTTTTTGAGCATATTCTGAGACTAGGAACATTGTACACCTAACTGATGATCATTTCAAGAACTATATTTTCAAAAAATCTGAACAATATTCAACTTACCCATTGAATGACAATTTCCTTTTGTCTTGCTCGTTCTTGCATCCAAAGGCAACACAATAAATCACCATTGTTTATCAAAACCTTCTCAACAATCAGTTCACAGTGTTCACACCAACAAATTCAGTCCTTTTTATAAATAAAACATGCCAAATAAATAGATATTTCACATAAACAAAGACCATGAATTTATGTCTTCACTTTCTTGCCTGTTTAGATGACAGAAAAAAATCGATTTTATCAATTTAACTCTTTTATTTATTTATTTATTTACGGACAGATCCATTACAAGAATTGTACAATATAAACAATTTAAAAATACACATTAAAAACCATTCATTCATGTGATACATTATATAGGTACACATCTAAACATATAGGTGATTAAAAATGAAGAGCATCACAGAGCAAGGCGCCTTCCCACTTCAGAACTGAAGGCAGAGAAGGTTATGCCAAAATAGTGCAAATTCATACTATTGGCACTCCGCGCCATTCTTGTTAAAGGGCAGTGGAATCCATAATTACGACAATGAAATTTAATGTGAAAAGTATCATTTGACCTGGTACCAGAGGAGTTAGTTTTTAATCCAACGTGAGAAAGAAGATCTGGAGAAAGAACTTCACCAGACAATAACTTGAATAAAAAGCATAAATCACTTTTAATCCTCCTACTTTCGAGGGTGGATATTCCTAATATGGAACACAAAAGATGATAATCATAATAATAGTTTTCCACATGAATCCCTAGTCTGTATGCCGAACATCTTAAGAATTTATGTTGCACAGTCTCCAGCATGTTAATATATATCTGATAGTGAGGGTTCCACAGAACAGATGCATACTCCATATGGGAGCGAACATGAGCACAATAAAGCAACTTAAATGAGTTAATCGAGAGGTCTCTGGAGGTCCTTTTGATATAACCCAACATTTTACGCGCTTTCATGGAGATCATAATTATGTGTTGGGAGAAACATAATTTATCATCAAGTAAAACACCCAAGTCTTTAATTTGAGTTACTCTTTCAAGTACACGAGAGTTGATAGAATATGAATAATCTATAGATTTGCGGTTTCTGTTAAAATTTATGAAGGAACACTTATTGAGATTCAGATCCATTCCATTGGCTTTGCACCAATCAGCAAGGTTGTTGATATCACTTTGTAATTCATAACAATTGTTTACATTTTCAATAACTTTGAATAGCTTCAAATCGTCAGCAAATAGTAGAAATTGAGAATTTACAATGTTGATCGCAACATCATTCACGAAGAGGTTGAATAATAGTGGGCCACAGTGACTACCTTGTGGAACACCAGAATGAACTGCGATGCTATCAGAGACATAATTTCCAATTTTAACCCACTGATACCTGCCTGTTAGGAAGCTGTGAAGCCAGTCAGACAATTTGCCAGTGATGCCATATGCATTCAGTTTTGCAATCAGCAGTTCATGATTTACTCTATCAAATGCTTTTGAGAAGTCAGTGTAGATAGAGTGTACTTGATATCCCTTCTCAAAAGCATTTAAAATTGTTTGTTGAAAAGATAATAAACTAGTTACAGTGGATCTACCCTTATTGAATCCATGCTGCTGATCAACAATTAAACCTTTACACTCCCAAGATAGAAAGTCTGTAATTATTGAGTCCAACATTTTAGGTAAGCAAGACTGTAGACATATACCTCTATAGTTAGTGATATCTTCAACACAGCCTTTCTTAAATATAGGTCGTACGAAGCTATATTTCCAAAAGTCTGGAAATATACCTTGGTCCAGAGACATATTGAAAATCATACATATAGGACTGGTCAAAGAGTAAATGCATCTCTTTATAAAGTAAGGTGAAATTCCATCAGGACCACAACACACCCCATCCTTCATACCTGAAATCCTATCGAACACCTCACTCAGTGATACTCTATACTTATTAACATTGACGGTATTATGATAACATATATTGGGAACAATTACATCAGATTTAACATATACAGAAGAAAAATTCTCAGAAAATAAATTAGCAGTTTCGCTGCCATTCTTACTTATTTTGTTATGCAAATACATTTCACTTGGAAAACTATTTCTCGATTTTTCATTTGCAAATCTCCAAAAAGACTTGCTATCTGTTGTTAAACCATCTTCAATTTTTGAAATATAGTTGCGGTAACACTCATTAGTTAAAATTTTACATTTATTTCTAAGAAAAGAGAAATTAACATAATCTTGTTGATTGTTTGTTTCTTTAAAGAGTTTATGTGCAGATTTTTTATCAAATATACAACTTTTTAGCTCAGGGCTATACCAACATGGAAAAATATAGTTAGATTTCAGAATTTTCATAGGTATGAATGTATGCATAAGAGAAAATAAAACATCATACAGCTGGGCAGTCGCAGTGTTAATATCATTAAAATGCAAGTAACTTTCCCAATCAATCATGGATAAGTGTAAGTTTATTGAGTCATAGTCACCCCTTCTGAAGTCCAAAACAACTTCTTCAGTTTCCAAAGAATCATCAACATAACATGTAGGAATATCAAAGAAGCAAGAAGTATGGTGAATACTATTATGATGTAACAAATCAACAGCAGGATGGACTGAAATTGAATCAAGATTAGAAAACAACAGATCAAGTAAAACGTTTCGGCTGTTGTGAACATTATTATGTTGATAAAGATTTAGAAAACCAAACGATTCACATAAAGTGAGTGCAGGTGAGCTTATGGGACACTGGACACTGACACCGCGTTTGCTATTGGACCAAACTGCCTCAGGAAGATTATAATCACCAGCAAGAAAAATATTATGATTAACATATTTTTGCATCAATATCTCAATTTCTTCAGCATGGAGCAAATATTTGTCAACTGCAGAGTTGGGAGGAATGTAAATTCCACCAATGATGAATTTATTAATACCATGCGTAATTCTGGCAAAACATTGCTCTAAGTGCTTATTTGACTGAATGAAAGAGGGATTCAGATTGTTTTTTATCGCCAATAACACACCGCCACCTGTTTTTTTTTCACTAGTATGAGTCGATCTGTCACAGCGAAAGATGGTGTAACCCAGAATAGATGATTCAGATGAACTTATGTCATCAGAGAACCAGGTTTCTGTCAGTATAATAATATCATAGGTACACTGAAGAACAAGATTTTTGAAATCAGGAAGACTTGACTTCAATCCCCCCACATTCTGATAATAACAAGAGAGAGACACTTTCTGATTAGAAAATTTCTTTGCATTCCTCTGCATAACACCCGTTTCATCGTCTTGATTCACGCAACAGCTGTGGGATCCACTACTGACTGTGGCATCCCTTTCTTCTGGAAAAACTTAGACACGAAGGCACCTTTAGGCCAGATGTCCTTTCGCCAAGCCTTCTTGTAATTATCCTGACTGATATTCACTTTCATGGAAGCATAATTATTGGGATACTTTGATTTGATAGGTTCCACAGTGACTTCTGGAAACTGATCCAATAAGATTGACTTCAAGCTATCAGCACTCGTACTAGGGTGTAAGCGTGTGACATGAAAGGAAACGAACTTTGTTATGGCACGAACATCAGCTGTTTCTGTATTGTCACCTACTAGAAACTTTCTATTGCGCCTATTATAAGGTTTAATCCAATTCTCATCAGCATGAGATTGCCCTTGGTTGTCAACATCACCAAGATCTTGCAAGTCTTTCATGGCTGCCCTTGAGGTTGATTCTAATATAGCAGAACTAACTTGTTGAATAGTTATTTGCTCCGTATTTTGGCTGCTAGCGCTAGGAATTATATTCTTGGGTTTCGATGAATTCATTTTGGCATTGACAGCACTGACACTACTGACAGCAGTGACAGCCCTACCATTATCCTTGAATGAGGAAGCCTTATTTTTATTGACATCAAAAGTGGCACTGCGTGAGGAGGCAGCTGATGCATATGACTGGTTGTGGTTAAGGTTAGACTGGTTGCTTTGACCATGACCATGACCAACCAGATTCGATGAGTCAGAAATACCATTCTTAAAATTTGAGGTTAGATCAGAAATGTTGCGATTTTCAGCAACTTGAGTTTCTAAATCATTAATTCTGCACCTTAGGAGTTCTTGATTATCCATTAGCACAAGGACGAGCTTGCTAAGAAGTTCGTTTTCCTTTGTGATATCACTGAGAAGGTGTTCACCGTCATGTTTCACTACACATGCTGGACAGATAACTTCTTCATAACTAATCACTCTGAGACCTTTCAGGCGAACAGCACAAGATGGATGGTAGGAAACTTGACATTTTTGGCACTTTAGGTCGCCTTTAACACCACGTTTGCACGAAAAACACAACGTATTTTGCGAAATTTTTAAATTTTTGTTGGGGTCATCTGGAACACCGACCTTGCCGTCGGCCATCTTGGTATAATTTCTCTTCTCTTTCCTTGTATCAATTAATTCTGATTGAACTGTTTATCTTTCATTGTATTGCACATTTGATTTTTTTTTTGTTTCCCTCTATAAACATTGTATGTTTCTTGAGATCAATAAATGTTATTATTATTATTTCACACATTTTTGTTTCTGCCTATTAGTTAGGCTATTGAATAAAAAAATTGTATCTGTTGAAAATTGATACTCACATCTCATCATTTGAGGTGGAGGTCTTCTTGGTCTCATTTCTCTGTCCTCATGATGGGGGTGTTCATGAGGATCACCCACCATTATTTCCATCTCTCTCATTTGCTCAATCCTGATGAAGTCATTGTTGTCAGGAATAAGGTATTTTCTCACTTCTGCTAGAGCAAAAGCCACTCTAGCATGAGCTTCTGCTGGTGGTCCCAGTGCAGATATTTCAACATGCAGATCATCAGATAAGTGACTAGAAAGAAGCAGTATAATTAACTTTGATAGTAAGTAAAACTGATGAGTATGCACCTGTATTTGGGGTCCAAAGAGGTTCTTAGCTCTTCCTCTTTGTTGCGGTCTTTCATAGACCCTCTACCAAGTACAGCCATTTTGCACATGGTCTCCTCTTGAAGCCTCTTCATTGAATTTCCTTTTGGTCCCAACAATTTCCCAACGAAATTGAACTAGAATATCATGATTATAATTGTTACTTTGAATGAAAAGAAATAAGATGCACCTTTGGATGTTCTTTTACGGGTACTAACACCTTCACAGTAACCTTAATAGGCTTTTCTCTGTAGATATCCACATACTTGTTATCTCTCGGGACTCTACCTAATTGCTGAACTTTAGAAACCTCTGGAAGTATAAAAAATCAGAATTTTCAGAAAGTGGGTACTGAGGTAGGTACTTACCTTGGTCTATTAATTTTGCCGCATTTGAGAATTTGCTCTGGTCCAATAATAGTTTTTCGGCAAGAAGTTCCTTAACATACTCATTGGCCTTTTGGTTTTGCTGATTATTTTCTTCAGTATCACCCGTTGCGTTATCATTATTGTAATTGGTTTCTGATGCTTTCCTTTTGAAGTTGTCAGTGTAGTATTCTCCATTTGAATCGTATCTTTCAGTCATTGTATTTTGTTCTATAATAACAGATAGAGGAAAAAATAAATCTTAATTGAACCATACACAGATTCGGTTCACGACTCACGCAATTTTTTTTGTTTTTCACAAATCACAAAATCAAAATGGCCGACCGCGTTCTTGCCATATATCTTGCGAATCCAATGTGCGAATCTTGCGGAATGAGGGGTCGCGCCGATCGCGGTGTAGTGTCAATTGTCATCTCAGTCGCGACATCCATCCAATCAAAGAAGTTTCGGGATTTTGGGTTACTGATTATGTTCACGTTCGGGATTATGGAATAACAGAAAAACGAAAAGTAAAGAGAAGATGAAGATGAACGATGACCGATGACCGATGACGTGTGAGTTGGATGAAAAATGAATACATATACAGTGTGTTCGAGACAGATGAATATCAGAAAAAACTTATACAGAGTGACCTACAAAACCAGATCGAGGCAGATCGAATATCTTGAAACTAAATGAAATATCGAAAAACATATACAGGGTGACCTAAAGAATCAGAGCCAGATAAAAATCTTATTATTGATGGAAATTGAAAAAATGTACGGTGTGTTCGAGACGAATGAATATCAGAAAAAAACATATACAGGGCAATGACCGATGACATATGACAGATAGCAGTTGATGTCCGGTGACGTGTAACAGTTGACGTATATAAGTTGGATGAAAAATGATTAGATACATACTTCAGTGTGTTCGCGACGGATGAATATCAGATAAAACATATACAGAGCGACCTACAAATACAAAACCATAGGCAGATCAAATATCTTGAACTAAATATGAAATATGGAAAAACATAAATACATGTTGACCTAAAGAATCAGATCCAGATCAAAATCTTATTGAAAAAATACTCAGTGGGTTTGAGCTGAATGAATATAGAGACCTACGAAACCAACCCAGAGCGCAATATTGCAGTCCAACATTGAAATCATATTTCCCAAATTTTTTTCTCTGTGAAGTTATTCCGTTTCCGTTTCAAAAATCGATTCAGCAACATTAAACCATAATGCAGGCTCATGTTTCCAGAAAGTTGGTAGGTTAATTGATTTAATTGATTCTTTCTCTTTCTTGAAATTTCCCTCGAAATTTCCAGTTGATGTGTCTTTTGAGGAGATGATGTCATGAGGCATGATACTGTTTGGAAATGTTGAACTTTCACGATGTTTTTCCAAAATATCGAGTCTTGCTTCTAACGAATCATTTTTTATTATTTTCATCAATGTCGATCAGAATTTCGCATAATCGATCTTCTTCGTAAAAATAGTGTTCAAAACATCATTTGGTATGATTCTTGATGAAATCTCTGAAAGAATGCGGCTTCGTGGAATTGATCCTTATGAGTTTTTGAAATGTACTCTGTCAGTATATTTCCTTATTCATATATTCATCAAAAATGGCACATCAATGTCAGACATGGTCAGACTATCAAATCATAATATACCAAGCAAGGTTACTCTGGTCAGTTCCCTTTGTGAATCTTCTCTTCGGCTCGTAAGGACTGGATGGTTTTCTCCGATTGAGTGGCAAGTATCAAATACTGCTTCTCTGATCTGCAACAGAACATCACATATATCAATCGAAGTACATTCATATCAGAAAATAAATATTAGATGAATTACATGGATGTTGAATCTGAGACATACCTAAATAATATATTCAACATCCGTAACTGGATTGCTACATATCCGTTTTCTTTCCGAATAGTGTTTTTTCCAGTAGGCATCTTCCACATTTTTAATTACGTACGTGGATCATATAAAAAGGACCTTGAAGGCCAAACGATGTGCTGCTCGGATCTAAAACTAAGGATCAATTTCAAATTTGAATCGTGAGACTTACATAGAATATGAATCTATGGAAAGTCTGGATATTGTTTTCAACATTCGTAACTATCTCAATGAAGACGAGACAGGCAGATAAACAACAATTTTCTCTGCAATGAAGAACACTGTATATACCTAACCCACCATGCGTCTACCTCCTTTGCAGAGAGGGTTTATAAACGCCGAGTTGATACTCTCCCCTCGTAAGGGTACCTGTCGTGTTTCCATAGAGACATAAAGCTGAATATCTGTCTATCTGTCTGCTTGAGAATCTGGAAAGGTGATCAATATATCGCCTTCCGTACGAATATAATGATCTGAATTCTGTAAAGTATACTCTCGTCAGTTCTCTTTGCGGATCTTCTGTTCGGTCCGTATTTACTAGATGGTTTTCTCCGATTGAGTGGCAAGTATCAAACACTGCTTCTTGGATCTGCAAATAAACATCACATTTAAATCGAAGTACATTTGAATCAGAAAATATCATTAGAGGAAATACATAGATGTTGCATCTGAGACATACCTGAATAATATTTTCAACGTTCGTTAGTAGATTGCTACATATCCGCTTTCTTTCCGTATAATGGGTTTTCCAGTAGGCATCTTCCACATGTTCAATTACGTGGGTTATATTAAGGACCTTTGAAGGTCAAACAATGTGCTGCTCAGATCTAAAACTATATAAGTATCAATTTCTAATTTGAATCGTGAGACCTACATAGAATATGAATCTATAAAAAGTCTGGATATTGTTTGCAACATTCATAACTGGAACGCGATATATTTTTGTAATTCATCAACTATCTCAATGAAGACGAGACAGGCAGATAAACAACAATTTTCTCTGCAATGAAGAACACTGTATATACCTAACCCACCATGCGTCTACCTCCTTTGCAGAGAGGGTTTATAAACGCCGAGTTGATACTCTCCCCTCGTAAGGGTACCTGTCGTGTTTCCATAGAGACATAAAGCTGAATATCTGTCTATCTGTCTGCTTGAGAATCTGGAATGGATATAATATATCGCCTTCCGTACGAATATAATGATCTGAATTCTGTAAAGTATACTCATCTCGTCAGTTCTCTTGGCGGATCGTCTGTTCGGTCCGTATTTACTGGATGGTTTCCTCTGATTGAGTGGCAAGTATCGAACACTGCTTCTTGGATCTGCAAATAAACATCATATCATTAGAGGAAATACATAGATGTTGCATCTGAGACATACCTGAATAATATTTTCAACATCCGTTAGTAGATTGCTACATATCCGCTTTCTTTCCGTATAATGGTTTTTCCAGTAGGCATCTTCCACATGTTCAATTACGTGGGTTATATTAAGGACCTTGAAGGTCAAACAATGTGCTGCTCAAATCTAAAACTAAGTATCAATTTCTAATTTGAATCGTGGGACCTACATAGAATATGAATCTATGAAAAGTCTGGAAATTGTTTGCAACATTCATAACTGGAACGCGATATATTTTTGTAATTCATCAACTATCTCAATGAAGACGAGACAGGCAGATAAACAACAATTTTCTCTGCGATGAAGAACACTGTATATACCTAACCCACCATGCGTCTACCTCCTTTGCAGAGAGGGTTTATAAACGCCGAGTTGATACTCTCCCCTCGTAAGGGTACCTGTCGTGTTTCCATAGAGACATAAAGCTGAATATCTGTCTATCTGTCTGCTTGAGAATCTGGAATGGATATCAATATATCGCCTTCCGTACGAATATAATGATCTGAATTCTGTAAAGTATACTCATCTCGTCAGTTCTCTTGGCGGATCGTCTGTTCGGTCCGTATTTACTGGATGGTTTCCTCTGATTGAGTGGCAAGTATCGAACACTGCTTCTTGGATCTGCAAATAAACATCATATCATTAGAGGAAATACATAGATGTTGCATCTGAGACATACCTGAATAATATTTTCAACATCCGTTAGTAGATTGCTACATATCCGCTTTCTTTCCGTATAATGGTTTTTCCAGTAGGCATCTTCCACATGTTCAATTACGTGGGTTATATTAAGGACCTTGAAGGTCAAACAATGTGCTGCTCAAATCTAAAACTAAGTATCAATTTCTAATTTGAATCGTGGGACCTACATAGAATATGAATCTATGAAAAGTCTGGAAATTGTTTGCAACATTCATAACTGGAACGCGATATATTTTTGTAATTCATCAACTATCTCAATGAAGACGAGACAGGCAGATAAACAACAATTTTCTCTGCGATGAAGAACACTGTATATACCTAACCCACCATGCGTCTACCTCCTTTGCAGAGAGGGTTTATAAACGCCGAGTTGATACTCTCCCCTCGTAAGGGTACCTGTCGTGTTTCCATAGAGACATAAAGCTGAATATCTGTCTATATATCTGTCTGCTTGAGAATCTGGAATGGTAATCAATATATCGCCTTCCGTACGAATATAATGATCTGAATTCTGTAAAGTATACTCATCTCGTCAGTTCTCTTGGCGGATCGTCTGCTCGGTCCGTATTTACTGGATGGTTTCCTCTGATTGAGTGGCAAGTATCAAACACTGCTTCTTGGATCTGCAAATAAACATCATATCATTAGAGGAAATACATAGATGTTGCATCTGAGACATACCTGAATAATATTTTCAACATCCGTTAGTAGATTGCTACATATCCGCTTTCTTTCCGTATAATGGTTTTTCCAGTAGGCATCTTCCACATGTTCAATTACGTGGGTTATATTAAGGACCTTGAAGGTCAAACAATGTGCTGCTCAAATCTAAAACTAAGTATCAATTTCTAATTTGAATCGTGGGACCTACATAGAATATGAATCTATGAAAAGTCTGGAAATTGTTTGCAACATTCATAACTGGAACGCGATATATTTTTGTAATTCATCAACTATCTCAATGAAGACGAGACAGGCAGATAAACAACAATTTTCTCTGCGATGAAGAACACTGTATATACCTAACCCACCATGCGTCTACCTCCTTTGCAGAGAGGGTTTATAAACGCCGAGTTGATACTCTCCCCTCGTAAGGGTACCTGTCGTGTTTCCATAGAGACATAAAGCTGAATATCTGTCTATATATCTGTCTGCTTGAGAATCTGGAATGGTAATCAATATATCGCCTTCCGTACGAATATAA